GTCTATAGTCTAGTCTATAGTCTAGTCTATAGTCCTAGTCTATAGTCTAGTCTAGTCTAGTCCTAGTCTTAGTCTAGTCTAGTCTATAGTCTAGTCTATAGTCTAGTCTAGTCTATAGTCTAGTCTATAGTCTAGTCTATAGTCTAGTCTATAGTCTAGTCTATAGTCTAGTCATAGTCTAGTCTATAGTCTAGTCTATAGTCTAGTCTATAGTCCTAGTCTATAGTCTAGTCTATAGTCTAGTCTATAGTCTAGTCTATAGTCTAGTCTAGTCTATAGTCTAGTCTATAGTCTAGTCTATAGTCTAGTCTATAGTCTAGTCTATAGTCTAGTCTATAGTCTAGTCTATAGTCTAGTCTATATAGTCTAGTCTATAGTCTAGTCTAGCATAGTCTAGTCTATAGTCTAGTCTAGTCTATAGTCTAGTCTATAGTCTAGTCTAGTCTATAGTCTAGTCTAGTCTATAGTCTAGTCTATAGTCTAGTCTATAGTCTAGTCTATAGTCTAGTCTATAGTCTAGTCTATAGTCTAGTCTATAGTCTAGTCTATAGTCTAGTCTATAGTCTAGTCTATAGTCTAGTCTATAGTCTAGTCTATAGTCTAGTCTATAGTCTAGTCTATAGTCTAGTCTATAGTCTAGTCTATAGTCTAGTCTATAGTCTAGTCTATAGTCTAGTCTATAGTCTAGTCTATAGTCTAGTCTATAGTCTAGTCTATAGTCTAGTCTATAGTCTAGTCTATAGTCTAGTCTATAGTCTAGTCTATAGTCTAGTCTATAGTCTAGTCTATAGTCTAGTCTATAGTCTAGTCTATAGTCTAGTCTATTGTCTAGTCTATAGTCTAGTCTATAGTCTAGTCTATAGTCTAGTCTATAGTCTAGTCTATAGTCTAGTCTATAGTCTAGTCTATAGTCTAGTCTATAGTCTAGTCTATAGTCTAGTCTATAGTCTAGTCTATAGTCTAGTCTATAGTCTAGTCTATAGTCTAGTCTATAGTCTAGTCTATAGTCTAGTCTATAGTCTAGTCCATAGTCGTCTATAGTCTAGTCTATAGTCTAGTCTATAGTCTAGTCTATAGTCTAGTCTATAGTCTAGTCTATAGTCTAGTCTATAGTCTAGTCTATAGTCTAGTCTATAGTCTAGTCTATAGTCTAGTCTATAGTCTAGTCTATAGTCTAGTCTATAGTCTAGTCTATAGTCTAGTCTATAGTCTAGTCTATAGTCTAGTCTATAGTCTAGTCTATAGTCTAGTCTATAGTCTAGTCTATAGTCTAGTCTCAGTCTATAGTCTAGTCTATAGTCTAGTCTATAGTCTAGTCTATAGTCTAGTCTATAGTCTAGTCTTAGTCTAGCTATAGTCTAGGTCTTAGTCTAGTCTATAGTCAGTCTATAGTCTATCTATAGTCTAGTCTATTGTACAGTTCTAGCGTACAGTCCAGTTTGTTGCCCTAGATTAGTTTTTATTATAGACTGATTGTAGTTCGAAAGTTTTCTGATTTTATTACCTTTTATTTATCGATTTAGTCGTTTATAAAAATCTGCTGCGATATACGAAAACAACATTAATAATTACGAATATTTAATTGCATTTTTATTCATGCTTACATGAGAGACTATTCACACAAGCATGTATCAAAGACAAATAGGCATATCACAGAATAGCATCATGTTTACACCATTATTCTGAATCTTTAATTATTCTTTATGAAATGCCTAAATATTATGTCTTTTTTTGAACGCAACCAAAAAAAAAACATCAAAAACTTTTCAAAAGTTTATTGCGTGTACTCACTTTAGTCTAAACTTTATTTAGAAAGTTGCGTTTGTTTAACACAACAAACAAACTTCAGAAACTAAAAAAACTAAAATCTAAGAACTTTAATAGAGAAAAATTCAAAAAAAAACGTTTGTTTAAATACAGACATTTCATATCCGTTACACATATGCATGTTATGAACATAAACATTCAAGATATTAACCTTTCTTAAGTTTTAATGAAAAATTCATAAAGAAATTTTGTTTATTAATATTTAAAACCACAAAACAACTAAAACGAAATCCTTTTTTCCACTTCTTTAACTTTAAAAACAAACTTCTTCATAATTTGATGATTGAATTATAAACAAAAATTAAGCCCATTTTCTTTCATACACAACCCTTTTCTCTCCCCTTTTGAAAGGTTTCGTTTATTTTGACATACAAAAACTATAAACAACTATTTGCCAAATAAACGTAAACAGCAGGCAGATTCAATTTAGTTGTATTCCATAGTCCTGACATAACGGTTGTTTAACGTTTCTACTCGGTTTATTAGTAGTTTTAACGTTATTTTATATAAATTTTACGTGTCTTATATTAATTTTAATACACTAATTTATTTTAAATTAATTATAAAATGCCTCGTAAAAAGGCCAAAGTTGATACACTGGAAGAAATTGAAACTAGTATTAAATTGTTATGTGATCAATCGAAAAATCATATGAAATCAAGGGAATATGAAAAAGCTTTAAATGGTTATAATCAGGTAAATATAGTGTGTTTTTAAGGATCAGCAGTATCTCGAAAAATATTTTAAATACAATATCCAAATCCGAAAATTCCAAATTAATGTTTCAAGTTTGTTGTTGGGATCTTTAAACAAGTCAGGCTAAAGAATTGATTATATAGAGTATAGTTCTATAGACAAGACTATTGTGTGGAATATAGTCTGGATTATAGACGAAAGTATAGTCTGGACTATAGACAAGACTTTAGGCAAGAATATAGTCTGGACAATAGACAAGATTATAGTCTGGACTATATATAAGATTATAGTCCAGAGTATAGCCTTGTCTATAGTCCAGATTAGTCTATACTTCTGACTATAGACATGTCTGGACTATTGACAAGTATATAGTCTGGACTTTAGACAAGTCTATAGTCTGGACTTTAGACAAGTCTATAGTCAGGACTATAGGCTTGTCTATAGTCAGGATTATAGAAAAGTCTATAGTCAGGACTATAGACAAGTCTAGACTATAGACTAGACTATACTCTAGACAATGGAGGTTATAGTCTGGACTATAGTCCGGGGAATAGTTTAGACTATAGACAAGTCTATAGGCTATAGACTATAGGCTTGTCTATAGTCAGGATTATAGAAAAGTCTATAGTCAGGACTATAGACAAGTCTAGACTATAGACTAGACTATACTCTAGACAATGGACTAGGCTAAAGTCTGGACTATAGGCAAGGCTATATGCTGGGCTATAGATAAGGCTATAGTCTGGACTGTATACAAGGGTATAGTGTGGGCTATAGACAAGGCTATAGTCTGGGCTTTTGTCTAGGCTATAGTTTAGACTATTGACTATAGACAAAGCTATAGGATGGACTATAGACAAGGCTATAGGCTGGACTATTGACAAGGCAATAGTCTATATAGGCTATAGGCTGGACTATTGACCAGGCTATAGTCTAGACAGTAGTCTTGACTATAGGCAAGGCTATAGTCTGGACTATAGAGAAGGCTATTGTCTTGATTATAGACAATGCTATTGTCTGGACTATAGAGAAAGCTATTGTCTGGACTGTATACCAGACTACAGCCTGGACTATAGACCAGGTTATAGTCTAGACTATAGACAAGGCTGTAATCTGGACTATAGACAAGGCTGTAGTCTGGACTATAGACAAGGCTACAGTCTGGACTATAGACTAGAGTACAGACTAGGCTATAATCTAAACAATACTGTAGTATGGACTGTAGGCCTTAGTCAGGACTATAGTCAAGTCTATAGTTTGAAGTATAGACATGACTATAGTCTGGGGCCAAATTACGGCATACGATATCGATCGAAATCTCCATTTAGATTCTATTGAGATTTCGACTGATATCGTATGCCATAATTTGGGCCCTGGACTATAATCTGGACTACATAAATGACCCTTATAGTGGGAACTATTGACAAGGCTATAGTCTGGACTATAGAATAGTCTATAGGCTGGACTATAGCCTAGACTATTACTAAACTATAAACAAGACTATAGACTATAAAATAGATTATAGGCTAGACCGTAGACTATGCTAGTCTAGTCTAGAATAGACTAGACAATGACCTGTAGAACAGACTATAGACTTGACCATAGACTATGGTAGTCTAGTCTAAACTAAAGACTGAACTATAGAATAGACTGTAGACTGAACTATAGACTGGACTATATACTAGACTATAGACTAGACTATAGACTAGACTATAGACTAGACTATAGACTAGACTATAGACTAGACTATAGACTAGACTATAGACTAGACTATAGACTAGACTATAGACTAGACTATAGACTAGACTATAGACTAGACTATAGATTAGACTATAGACTAGACTATAGATTAGACCACAGACTGGACTATATACTAGACTATAGACTAGACTATAGACTAGACTATAGACTAGACTATAGACTGGACTATATACTAGACTATAGACTAGACTATAGACTAGACTATAGACTGTCTACTAGACTATAGACAAGACCAAAGACTAGACTATAGACTAGACTAAAGACTAGACTATAGACTAGACTAAAGACTAGACTATAGACTAGATTAGACTACGGACTAGAGAATAGACTAGACTATAGACTAAACTTTAGACTATACTAACTGGACTATAGAAAGTATACCATTTAAAATAACCTGCAGACAAAAGCTTTCTATAATTAGCATTATTATTAGCCAATCCTACAACCTTTATAAAGTCTTCATAGCAAAAGCTTGAAAGCTAACCCCTAGTAAATATTTCTAATTCAAATCAAGTAATTTAACCAAAAAAGGTGTTAAGTATATCGAAGATTATCAATATTATTATATTAATAAGGAATTTCGGTAACCAGGCAACTTGTTTATAATAAATTTATATTTTCATAAAACCGTAAAAAAACTAAAATAATTGTTAATAAGAGAAAATTAAAAATTTTTCTAAAATACCATTTGTTATAATATTTAAAACTTGAAAAAAATGTCCAAAGTTTTAAAAGATTTCCTAGCCGTTGATAAAGAACAAGAGTTATTGCAAAGTTTTATACGTTTAGGAGCGCCCAGCGATGAGGAGGCTCTTGACGATTCCAATCAACATAAAAAGGGAGCTGCTAGAAGACGTGCCAGCAGCTATACTTCACCCAGAAAGGCAACAGATAATCGCCGTAAATCGGTGAAATTTTTTGATGGTGCTGAGGGTCCGACCGAAAAATCTACGGGACAACGAATGAATCGCATAGAGGCGGAGCTGAGAGCTGCACGTAAAAAATCCGAAGATTTAGCTGCTAAAAAGAAAAAGCCAAAAGAAAATTTTGTAGATTTCTATACGGATAAGGATCGTGCGGCTGCAGTTAGTGCGGGGGCGTATGATATTAAGCAGAGTTTACAAATCAAACAGAAACAGGATCGCAATGAAACGCTGCTGATACCAGATGAGGCGGATATAAGTTCGATTATAGCGTTGGGTTTGAAAGAGATCAAAAATGCAAATCCGGAAAATGCCATACATTTCTTTTCGAAGGTTTGAGAATTTTATTATTAGGTTTTTAAGAATGTGTAGGGATAATAGATGAAAGGATAGGGAAAACTCTTATTTCCGGATTTAAATATACAGCATTTTATTTACTTTTAAATTTGCTTTACTTTATAGGCCCTTGAACTGAACAACACCGACATTAATGCCTTAGTCTCACGCAGCAAATGCTATTTACTGTTGGGTGAAGCTTCTAAGGCTTTAATTGATGCCGAGACAGCCTTAGCTGAGGATAAAAACAATATACGAGCCATTTATCAAAAAGCTGAATCCCTCTACTATTTAGGACAATTTGAACAGAGTCTTATGTACTTCCATCGCGGTCTACGTGCTCGCCCCGAATTGGCCTCCTTTCGCCTGGGTGTGCAAAAAACCCAAGAAGCTATAGAAAACACCATAGGCGTTAAGAATTCCAAGCCCGGAACAGCTGGTAAAAATAAACCTAAACGTTCGGGTGATAATACACCTAAATCACAAATGACTACTTCAAGACCTCAACGACCTAAGCCAACTAAGGCAGAGTTGGAGCGCAGAAATGCTCGCAAACTTTTAGGAGAACTTTGTGTGGATAAAGAGTATTTGGAGAATTTACTTAAACATCCTGATTTAGTGAGAGCCGATACAAATACGGAGAATATTTCAATGTATGCCAAGGAGGCGGTAGATTTTCTCAATAAACGTCAAGAATTCTGGCGACAACAGAGACCCTGCACCGCCTTGCCGAATCATAAGAATTTGCCGATGGATGCTATGCCGAGATGGTTCTAGATTTAAGGTTTTTAAAATGCTACAAATTTTCAAAAGGACTGTGGACCAGACTATAAACTAGACTATTGGCAAGACTAGACTATAGACTAAACTATAGACTAGACTCTAGACTAAACTATAGACTAGACTCTAGAATAAACTATAGACTAGACTATAAACTAAACTATAGACTAGACTATAGACTAGACTATAGACTAGACTATAGACTAGACTATAGACTAGACTATAGACTACTAGACTAGACTATAGACTAGACTATAGACTAGACTATACTATAGACTAGACTATAGACTAGACTATACTATAGACTAGACTATAGACTATACTACAGACTAGACTATAGACTAGACTATAGACTAGACTATAGACTAGACTATAGACTAGACTATAGACTAGACTATAGACTAGACTATAGACTAGACTATAGACTAGACTATAGACTAGACTATAGACTAGACTATAGACTAGACTATAGACTAGACTATAGACTAGACTATAGACTAGACTATAGACTAGACTATAGACTAGACTATAGACTAGACTGTAGACTAGACTATAGACTAGACTATAGACTAGACTATAGACTAGACTATAGACTAGACTATAGACTAGACTATAGACTAGACTATAGACTAGACTATAGACTAGACTATAGACTAGACTATAGACTAGACTATAGACTAGACTATAGACTAGACTATAGACTAGACTATAGACTAGACTATAGACTAGACTATAGACTAGACTATAAACTAGACTATAGACTAGACTATAAACTAGACTATAGACTAGACTAGACTGCAGACTAGACTAGACTATAGACTAGACTATAGACTAGACTATAGACTAGACTAGACTATAGACTAGACTATAGACTAGACTATAGACTAGACTATAGAGTAGACTATAGACTGGACTATAGACTAGACTATAGACTATAGACTAGACTATAGACTAGACTATAGACTAGACTATAGACTAGACTATAGACTAGACTATAGACTAGACTATAGACTAGACTATAGACTAGACTATAGACTAGACTATAGACTAGACTATAGACTAGACTATAGACTAGACTATATACTAGACTATAGACTAGACTATAAACTAGACTATAAACTAGACTATAGACTAGACTATAGAGTAGACTATAGACTAGACTATAGACTAAACTATAGACTAGACTATAGACTATACTATAGACTAGACTATAGACTAGACTATAGACTAGACTATAGACATAGACTAGACTATAGACTAGACTATAGACTAGACTATAGACTAGACTATAGACTAGACTATAGACTAGACTATAGACTAGACTATAGACTAGACTATAGACTAGACTATAGACTAGACTATAAACTAGATTATAGACTAGACCATAGACTAGACCATAGAGTAGACCATAGAGTAGACCATAGACTAGACTATAGACTAGACTATAGACTAGACTATAGACTAGACTATAGACTAGACTATAGACTAGACTATAGGCTAGACTATAGACTAGACTATAGACTAGACTATAGGCTAGACTATAGACTAGACTATAGACTAGACTATAGACTAGACTATAGACTAGACTATAGACTAGACTATAGACTAGACTATAGACTAGACTATAGACTAGACTATAGACTAGACTATAGACTAGACTATAGACTAGACTATAGACTAGACTATAGACTAGACTATAGTAGACTATAGACTAGACTATAGACTAGACTATAGACTAGACTATAGACTAGACTATAGACTAGACTATAGACTAGACTATAGACTAGACTATAGACTAGACTATAGACTAGACTATAGACTAGACTATAGACTAGACTATAGACTAGACTATAGACTAGACTATAGACTAGACTATAGACTAGACTATAGACTAGACTATAGACTAGACTATAGACTAGACTATAGACTAGACTATAGACTAGACTATAGACTAGACTATAGACTAGACTATAGACTAGACTATAGACTAGACTATAGACTAGACTATAGACTAGACTATAGACTAGACTATAGACTAGACTATAGACTAGACTATAGACTAGACTATAGACTAGACTATAGACTAGACTATAGACTAGACTATAGACTAGACTATAGACTAGACTATAGACTAGACTATAGACTAGACTATAGACTAGACTATAGACTAGACTATAGACTAGACTATAGACTAGACTATAGACTAGACTATAGACTAGACTATAGACTAGACTATATACTAGACTATAGACTAGACTATAGACTAGACTATAGACTACACTATAGACTACACTATAGACTAGACTATAGACAAAACTTAGATTAAACTAGAGACTAGACTATAGACTAGACTTTAGATTAGACTGTAGACTAGACTAGAGACTAGAATATAGACTTCACTATATATTCGACTTTAAACTAGACTATAGATTAGACTATAGAATAGACTATAGTCTAAGCTATAGACTAGTCTACAGAAAATACTGAATACTAGACTATAGTACAGATGTCAATAGGACCTATTGACAAAACTGTAGATAATAGAATATGCTATATGCTGAACTATAGAATAGACTATAGTCTGGTATATAGAATAGACTATTATCAGGACTACAAAACGGACTACTAACACAACTATTATATTAATTAACTATCCTATAAATTGTAAACCTTAGATTCCTAGCTTTAAAACCCAAAGCCCCAAAAAAAACAAAAACTTTTCACATTTTTTGCAAGATTATTGTGAAACATGTTCTTTCAAGTGTTTTGTTTTATTATATTTATTATTAATTCAATTTATATAATGCTGTTGTTACTTGTTTATAATTATGTTTTTTTTTTTTTTTTTTTTTTTTATATTTATAATTATTATAATATTAAATATATTTATATATATAGAGCTTTAACATTTAATACACCAGGATTAAATATGTGTAAGTTATGTGTCATTGTTATTATGTTTTAGTGTGTGTGTTTTTAACTGTTTTTAAATAAATCATAAAATAATTTAATAAATTTTTTATGTTTGTGTTTTAACTTAATTAAGGTTGTTGTTGTTGTTGGCTTAAGTTATTAAGAGATAATTAAGATTTTCTGCTGTTAGTTTAGATGGTTGTTAATTCATCATAATAATAAATATTTTGTTTTAAGATTATTTTGTTACTACATTTAACAGACAACTTTAAATTAAAACAATTAACAATTTGTGTTTTTTTTTTAATAATATTTTATTTAATATTGTTTTGTAAATAGTTTAATGGTTGTTTTTGTTAAGTTTTGTTGGTGATTTTAAATGATTAATTAAACATTTCTTGTTAATTTCAAATAATTTGTCTCAAATGTGTTAAACAATTTGGAATTTTCGAAAAACATCTTTGATAAAAATTAAAAAAAAAAAACTATATGTAGTTGCGGTTAGTAATAAATGGAACCAGTTTCCTCATTTCTACAATTTCATTGTTTTGTTTGTATTTTTGTATTTCTCTGATTTAATACAATAGATATTCAATACATTTTGTTAATATTTTTATATAAATTTTATTCCGCTTGGAGATTTGACTAGGTTTTTGTTGTTAGTTTGTTATTGTAGTTGCTTGCTGGCTTTTTAGTTTTAATAATTTAAGTATTTTATAACTACATATTTTATTTATTTTCTCATTTATTAATACTTTATTCTTGTTGCTTTTTAATTAAAATATAATCATTTAATATACATTTATTATTTCTTGTCTTTGCTTTTATTTTTTTATTTAGTTGTTTAATCATTATTATTATTACGCCTTCATTTTATATATATTTTTGTTTGTTTTATAGTTAATAATTAATTACCTCTTCATTGTTTTAAGCGTATTGTGTGTGTATTTTATCTAGTATTAAACCTTGCTATTTTTTATTAATTAATTTTCTTATTACTTTATCATTTGCACTATAGCGGTTGTTATTTTTTGTTGTTTTGCATGATAAATCTATTATAATTCCTAACTTTGTTCACTTTTATAAGATTAGCATAGCTTTGGGAGTCATTAGAAAAACAAGAAAAAATACAGAACTAGAACAGAACTAGAAAAGAACTAGAACAGAACTAGAAAAGTACTAGAACAGAACTAGAACATTAGAAAAACAAGAAAAAATACTGAACTAGAACAGAACTAGAACTAGAACAGATCTAGAACAGAACAAGAACAGAACTAGAATAGAACTAGAACAGAACTAGAACAGAACAAGAACAGAACTAGAATAGAACTAGAACAGAACTAGAACAGAACTAGAACAGAACTAGAACAGAACTAGAACAGAACTAGAACAGAACTAGAACAGAACTAGAACAGAACTAGAACAGAACTAGAACAGAACTAGAACAGAACTAGAACAGAACTAGAACAGAACTAGAACAGAACTAGAACAGAACTAGAACAAAACTAGAACAGAACTAGAACAGAACTAGAACAGAACTAGAACAGAACTAGCACAGAACTAGAACAGAACTAGAACAGAACTAGAACAGAACTAGAACAGAACTAGAACAGAACTAGAACAGAACTAGAACAGAACTAGAACAGAACTAGAACAGAACTAGAACAGAACTAGAACAGAACTAGAACAGAACTAGAACAGAACTAGAACAGAACTAGAACAGAACTAGAACAGAACTAGAACAGAACTAGAACAGAACTAGAACAGAACTAGAACAGAACTAGAACAGAACTAGAACAGAACTAGAACAGAACTAGAACATAACTAGAACGGAACTAGAACAGAACTAGAACAGAACTAGAACACAACTAGAACACAACTAGAACAGAACTAGAACACAACTAGAACAGAACTAGAACTGAACTAGAACTGAACGAGAAGTGACCTAGAATTGAACTAGAACTGAACTAGAACAGAACTAGTACAGAACTAGAACAGAACTAGAACAGAAATAGAACAAAACTAGAACAAAACTAGAACAGAACTAGAACAGAACTAGAACAGAACTAGAACAGAACTAGAACAGAACTAGAACAGAACTAGAACAAAACTAGAACAGAACTAGGACAGAACTAGAACAGAACTAGAATAGAACTAGAACAGAACAGAACTAGAACAGAACAGAACTAGAACAGAACTAGAACAGAACTAGAACAGAACTAGAACAGAACTAGAACAGAACTAGAACAGAACTAGAACAGAACTAGAACAGAACTAGAACAGAACTAGAACAGAACTAGAACAGAACTAGAACAGAACTAGAACAGAACTAGAACAGAACTAGAACAGAACTAGAAAAGAACTAGAGCTAGAACTAGAACAGAACTAGAACAGAACTAGAACAGAACTAGAACAGAACTAGAACAGAACTAGAACTGAACTAGAACTGAACTAAACTAAAACTGAACTAGAACTGAACTAGAACTGAACTAGAACTGAACTAGAACTGAACTAGAACTGAACTAAAACTGAACTAGAACTGAACTAGAACTGAACTAGAACTCAACTAGAACTCAACTAGAACTCAACTAGAACTCAACTAGAACTCAACTAGAACTCAACTAGAACTCAACTAGAACTGAACTAGAACTGAACTAGAACTGAACTAGAACTGAACTAGAACTGAACTAGAACTGAACTAGAACTGAACTAGAACTGAACTAGAACTGAACTAGAACTGAACTAGAACTGAACTAGAACTGAACTAGAACTGAACTAGAACTGAACTAGAACTGAACTAGAACTGAACTAGAACTGAACTAGAACTGAACTAGAACTGAACTAGAACTAGAACTGAACTGGAACTGAACTAGAACTGATCTAGAACTGAACGAGTAGTGACCTAGAACTGAACGAGAATTAGAACTGATCTAGAACTGAATACATTTTTTTTTTTTGGAATTTTAACGATTAATCGAAAAAAATACAATCGATTAATCGGATATTAACTTTTCTAAATCATTTTAATCGATTAATTGCAGTATTTGATATTTGCTTTAATATAATCAAATTAGTCTGACCATTAAATTCTAACATTTTTAATCGTAATTCTTATGAATATTAAAATTTAAAATCGATTAAAACAATCGGAAAATTATCAATTATTCGAATAATTTTATTCGATTATACTAATACTTTTAAACGATTATTCGGTTATTTTTGAACCGATTACACTTATTATTATTATTATATTAAACAAATACCCTATTTTGGATAATTCAGAAAATTATTAATTATTCGAATAATTTTATTCGATTATTCGAGTAAATGTAATCGATTATTAGGTAATTTTTAACCGATTACTCCAATTTCATTAAACAAATATTCTTTTTTGGAATTTTAAACGATTAATCTTAAAAATTTTACCGATTAATCGAATATTATTTTAACTTTTTTTCAAATTTTGTGGAAAAAAAGTAAAGTTGATATAATTTTGTGTAATATGTGTGGAAATCCTATCGATTAATGGAATATTTTATTGATTTTTTATATATTTGTCTTAATATTGCACTTTAGAAACATTATTTCTTAAAATTTTTGAACAAAATTTTAAACAAACCCCTAAACTATGCTAATATTTCGTTAAAAACATAAGCCCTTTTAAATAGGCTTTAATATTTTTTAAGTTCTTTCGTTAAACCCTTAAGTTTTAAGTTTTTTTTTTGCAAATTTGAATTTCTTCTTAAATAATATTTTAAAAAACTAAAAAGGAATACATGGAGCATTTTATTTGAGTTGTGTTACTTCTTGAAGTATAATAAATATATTTGTTTCATGTTTTGTATAATTTTTTGTTTGTTTTTTTTGGAATTACAATTGCAATAATGTGTTTATTATTAGTTTAATTAATTTGTTTTTTAAAAACATACAATATGTCTAAAAAGGAATGTTAAATTCTTTTCTTTCCACTTCAAACTTTACTACTTACCATTTAAGTACGTTAGGATTACTAAAGGTTGTTTTTTTTAATTATTATTTGGTCTATTCGGCAAGGGTGGTGCATTCCCTGTACGATTTGGTATAGGTGGGGGACCTCGTCTAACGGGTAGTGGTGGTGGAGGACCCATTGGTGCATTTGTCGGCATTTGTGGTGCTCTTCTAGCAGGACTTTCACTACTGCCACCATCCATCAAACCTACAGGGGGTGGAAAGGCTGGTGGTGGATGTCGGGGTGCAGGTATATCTGGTATTTCTTCATAAATATTGCTCTCGTTGTATGTTGAGGTATCTTGCACATCGACCGATGATTGTTTCGATTGGCGTGACGGTGTCGAAGCTGGTGTTACGTTCTTGCTTTGTGTGTGACGTGGTGGTGTGGGCGGCAATGAACCGGCCTGAGAACCCGAGCCAGAGGGTGACACTTTGCCGGAAGAAGAGTGTAACGGAGAAGTTTGTTCGGTTGGCGATTGTGACTTGGAAGAGGGAGCCGTATCAGAGCCCGAGCCCACCGGTACTGGTCTTAGGGGTGGTGGCAATTGTGGAGGTTGCTGCGGCTGTGGTGGCATTGGAGGCTTGGCCGGTTTTTGTAACATCTCAGGCACCACACTGATAACGCCGGCATGTGGCAAATGTCTGGGTGAATTCTTTGGTGACATGGGTATGGGTGGTCTAGCGGGTGCTGGCCTTGTGGGTGGTTGTTTTGGTCTTTGTGGCACTTCCGGGGTGGCATTCAATAGCTGTGCCTGTTCTTGAGGATTTGCACACAAAGCTATTGTATTGGTGGTGCACAATTCAATTTCATTGTCCACAAAATGATGCCAGTTGGGGGATTTCAATTCAAACTCCAAATCTAAACCACAAATATTAAGTTGACCCTTGGCTACGGCATTAAGTGAGGCCTCACCATCTCTAAAGGTAACCCACATGGTATCTTCGACATAACGTACCAAGGTAACTTCACCCATTTTAGTTAATTCCTGTATCAAAGTGGACATAACATTTTCATCATAAATAGTAGGGCCATCCTCGTCTACTGCTGCGTCTTTGACATGAACCACTATAGTGGAATCTGGGGGACCTAGGTCCCTAATAACCTGTTCGAAAACAGTTCTTCTGCGTTTTTGATCTATTTCCATAATCTCTGCATCTATTATGGCTATGACAGGACGATGATCACTTTGCTTAAGCTCTGATCTTCCATAGTGTATTAATTTACCCGGATTCCAATCATTATTGGCAAAATCTGATTCAGCTAAAGCCTTGCGGCGACGCCATAACACACGATCAGTCCAGGCGGGTGCTCTTTGTTTTTCCGAGGTATCATAGTCATCACTAAACAAGTCATATTTATAAGTGGGATCAAAAGTAATTTCACCTTCTAGAAAATCGGAAAATACATTGCCCGCTTCTTGTTCCTTGCGTAACTGATCATTTTCCAATACCGCCGTTAAATCACCATTGCGTATGGACTCCTTAAGTTCCTCTTTGTCCATGTCAATGCGATAGTTAAAATCTCCACACCAGAATACCCAATCGTGTGACTTTAAAGTGCGGCCCATGGGAAAGGCCAATTTGCGGGTGATCTCAGCATAATCAGCATTACGCTCGGCCACCTAAAAAGAAAACCAAACAAATCCATAAATTTGCCTATAAGTTTGAGAAAATCTTAACCCACCTGCGATTGACCTGCCGCAAAATGTGCGCAAACAAAACACATAGAAGTGCCATGCAAAACAAAACGTATAGCACAGGCTCCTTTATTTCCCGTAGCTCCACCCAAACCTGTCTTAACACAATCTATAGCCACATCTTTTATATAGGGAGCATGTTCCGGCCGTATATAAATGTACAGACACACTCCCACCAACTGCTGATAAGTCAATAGAACATAATCATTATCACGTGATATGGTTTTCTGTAATTCCTCAGCCCATAGCTTGGCATTATCTGTACTGGCAGCCATTATATTGGAAGCATTTAAATCGACAATTTCCTGAAAGCCTATAGCATAAATATCCACTGGATTGCCGGCATTCTCTGAGGGATTATTAACATTCACCAAAGCCTTGGATCGTGCTAAAGCATGACAATCTAGGAGCCAATCGGATAGCGAATCCTTAAAGACAATACTGCGAAAATGTTTGCCACCATTTACATTGTAAGTTCCAACGGCTACGCGAGCCGTTTTAGGCGTTACATATTCCGTATAACGTTTGCACATTTCACGCAAAACTGTGGTGGGAGCATGCAACATATTGGAAGGTAATAAAATGCGAGCTCTATCGGCCAATTCGGAATTGAGTGTGGAGCCAACTAGGAGAATGTCAATGGCTTCCTAAAGGTGAAAGAAAACATGAACTGATTACTTTTTCTGTATTAAATACTGTTCAATTCTGGTTCAGTCCTAGTTCAGTAGTAGTTCTATTTTATTTCAAGTTCGATTGTACTTCAGTTCTAATTCAGTTTTAGTTCCAGTTTTTGTTCAGTTTTTGTTCAGTTTTAGTTCAGTTCTAGTTCAGTTCTAGTTCAGTTCTAGTTCAGTTCTAGTTCAGTTCTAGTTCAGTTCTAGTTCAGTTCTAGTTCAGTTCTAGTTCAGTTCTAGTTCAGTTCTAGTTCAGTTCTAGTTCAGTTCTAGTTCAGTTCTAGTTCAGTTCTACTTCAGTTCTACTTCAGTTCTACTTCAGTTCTAGTTCAGTTCTAGTTCAGTTCTAGTACAGTTCTAGTTCAGTTCTAGTTCAGTTCTAGTTCAGTTCTAGTTCAGTTCTAGTTCAGTTCTAGTTCAGTTCTAGTTCAGTTCTAGTTCAGTTCTAGTTCAGTTCTAGTTCAGTTCTAGTTCAGTTCTAGTTCAGTTCTAGTTCAGTTCTAGTTCAGTTCTAGTTCAGTTCTAGTTCAGTTCTAGTTCAGTTCTAGTTCAGTTCTAGTTCAGTTCTAGTTCAGTTCTAGTTCAGTTCTAGTTCAGTTCTAGTTCAGTTCTAGTTCAGTTCTAGTTCAGTTCTAGTTCAGTTCTAGTTCAGTTCTAGTTCAGTTCTAGTTCAGTTCTAGTTCAGTTCTAGTTCAGTTCTAGTTCAGTTCTAGTTCAGTTCTAGTTCAGTTCTAGTTCAGTTCTAGTTCAGTTCTAGTTCAGTTCTAGTTCAGTTCTAGTTCAGTTCTAGTTCAGTTCTAGTTCAGTTCTAGTTCAGTTCTAGTTCAGTTCTAGTTCAGTTCTAGTTCAGTTCTAGTTCAGTTCTAGTTCAGTTCTAGTCAGTTCTAGTTCAGTTCTAGTTCAGTTCTAGTTCAGTTCTAGTTCAGTTCTAGTTCAGTTCTAGTTCAGTTCTAGTTCAGTTCTAGTTCAGTTCTAGTTCAGTTCTAGTTCAGTTCTAGTTCAGTTCTAGTTCAGTTCTAGTTCAGTTCTAGTTCAGTTCTAGTTCAGTTCTAGTTCAGTTCTAGTTCAGTTCTAGTTCAGTTCAGTTTAGTTCAGTTCTAGTTCAGTTCTAGTTCAGTTCTAGTTCAGTTCTAGTTCAGTTCTAGTTTAGTTCAGTTTAGTTCAGTTCTAGTTCAGTTCTAGTTCAGTTCTAGTTCAGTTCTAGTTCAGTTCTAGTTCAGTTCTAGTTCAGTTCTAGTTCAGTTCTAGTTCAGTTCTAGTTCAGTTGTAGTTCAGTTCTAGTTCAGTTCTAGTTCAGTTCTAGTTCAGTTCTAGTTCAGTTCTAGTTCAGTTCTAGTTCAGTTCTAGTTCAGTTCTAGTTCAGTTCTAGTTCAGTTCTAGTTCAGTTCTAGTTCAGTTCTAGTTCAGTTCTAGTTCAGTTCTAGTTCAGTTCTAGTTCAGTTCTAGTTCAGTTCTAGTTCAGTTCTAGTTCAGTTCTAGTTCAGTTCTAGTTCAGTTCTAGTCAGTTCTAGTTCAGTTCTAGTTCAGTTCTAGTTCAGTTCTAGTTCAGTTCTAGTTCAGTTCTAGTTCAGTTCTAGTTCAGTTCTAGTTCAGTTCTAGTTCAGTTCTAGTTCAGTTCTAGTTCAGTTCTAGTTCAGTTCTAGTTCAGTTCCAATTCAGTTCTAGTTCAGTTCTAGTTCAGTTCTAGTTCAGTTATAGTTCAGTTCTAGTTCAGTTCCAATTCAGTTCTAGTTCAGTTCTAGTTCAGTTCTAGTTCAGTTCTAGTTCAGTTATAGTTCAGTTCTAGTTCAGTTCTAGTTCAGTTCCAATTCAGTTCTAGTTCAGTTCTAGTTCAGTTCTAGTTCAGTTCTAGTTCAGTTCTAGTTCAGTTCTAGTTCAGTTCTAATTCAGTTTGAGTTCAGTTCTAGTTCAGTTCCAATTCAGTTCTAGTTCAGTTCTAGTTCAGTTCTAGTTCAGTTCTAGTTCAGTTATAGTTCAGTTCTAGTTCAGTTCTAGTTCAGTTCCAATTCAGTTCTAGTTCAGTTCTAGTTCAGTTCTAGTTCAGTTCTAGTTCAGTTCTAGTTCAGTTCTAGTTCAGTTCTAGTTCAGTTCTAGTTCAGTTCTAGTTCAGTTCTAATTCAGTTTGAGTTCAGTTCTAGTTCTAGTTCAGTTATAGTTCAGTTAAAGTTCAGTTCTAGTTCAATTCTAGTTCAGTTTTAGTCCAGTTCTTAAATGACCAAATTTAAACTCACCTGCTTGGAATTATCCAACAGATTATTCTGTATAGTCCTAGCCGCTGATCTTGCTCCATCCATTAATTTCGAACCGCCCTGAATGGCTCCAGTGCCTGCATAGATCTTACTAACCTCATTACCATTATTAATCCACATTTGCTTAAAAATCTCTTCAAATCTGGAATAATTTTTCTTCTCACCCATACCCAAAGCTTCTATTTGCACGGCCAAAGTGTCAAGACCCAAATAAGTCTGTACACAATTGGTACGATCTAAACAATCCAAACAATTGGTGCGTATAACACCGAATTGTTCACGCAACACCTGACCATTGGAAACATGAAATATGCCATAGTTAATGCCGCAGGCAGTAATGCGTTCCTTAAGTTTGGATAAAGCGCCAAAATTGCCACCACGACACTCTTGATGATAGTCGAAAATGATATGGGGAACATCTTTGTGGGCCGACATGCCATGGTGTCTTTGAAATTCATTGCTTAACATGGCTTCGCCTTCTTTGCTGCCCACCAACGAAGTGCCCAAGAGATTAATAATGGCTTGGTAGCCATAACGTTGTTTCATCATAGACATATGACGATCAAAAGCAGCAGCAGAAGTCTCAAAGCCGCGGGAAAGTTTAACTTTGTGCGAGCCTACTTGAACGCCAGGTTGTTCCCAAAATAGTGGAACAGAACCTCTGGTTTGGACATAACTGGTGACATCATTATCAACATGAATCACCTGTTCGGTTTCCACAAAATTGGCAACATGACCTTCATCGTTAGTGCCTTTTAAGAGAAACAAGTTTAAATTAAGTAATTTATTGATTTATTACCAAACTTACCTCTAACATTGAACCTAGTACCGGCTCTTTCACAAGACAACCTTGATATAATGGCTGCCCTAGCCTGTTTGGCTCCTATATAAACTGTACGTATTTCCACCGAACCACACATGGCCTTCAACAGCCAGGCCTGACAATCTATACCAAATCTTAGCATATGTATATGCATCATACGATTCCAAAAGAAACGATTATCCGTTTCAGAAGTCTGCTGACGCCTTTGGGCACACAACGTTATATCAAACTTATTCATTGTAGTCGATGTCTGATTGGTGTGAGCAAAATAAAATGTACCCGAATTGAGTAATTTCCTAACTTCCGATATCTTATCCTCATTGGGTGCTGCATTTTGCAAAGAAACAAATTGTGTCTGTTGTATACGAAACACTTCTACATCGCCTATTTTACCCATCGATACACAACCAGTGACCAGCACTAGAAATAATACCGTACTTTCGCCAGCATTTAATTGCAAAACACCCAAACAGCCATAGGCATCACAAACTTTGGTATATTGTTTACGTATGATATCCGTCTCTTGTTGTGACAGCAAAGCCACTGCATGCGATTCAAAGAGTATGCTGTCGTTTTTATGACGATGCTCCATTAGTACACTATGCGGCGACGGAGCAATGGATTTCTCCAATACCCTTATTACTTTAGACATAGCCATGTTGGGTATAGGATTAAATATCTATTATTAAGGGTAATGTTATATTTTGATTGATAACAGGAAGCTGATTTGTTTTCTGTTGATTTCCAAATCAAAAAAAGTGGGATAATTATCCAATTTTTTATTTTTGCATAAAACAACGAATTTTGTTAATGATTTTAAGGAGTTTTCAAGGGAGACACATCTGTAAATTGAAAAAAAAAAGCTTAGAACGTTTTTATAATGAAATCAGGAGAAATTTTGGGAATGTAGGAGAACTGAACTAGAACTGAACTAGAACTGAACTAGAACTGAACTAGAACTGAACTAGAACTGAACTAGAACTGAACTTGAACTGAACTTGAACTGAACTAGAACTAGAACTGAACTAGAACTGAACTAGAACTGAACTAGAACTGAACTAGAACTGAACTAGAACTGAACTAGTACTGAACTAGAACTAAACTAGAACTGAATTGGAACTGAACTGAAGTAGAATTGATCTATAACTAAAGTTGAAATGAACCAGAATTGAACTAAAACTAAACTAGAACCGAACTAGAACTAGAACTAAATTAAACCTAACCTGGAACTGAACTTGAAATGAACTAGAACTGAACTAGAAGTGACCTATAAACAATATAAAACTGTGCTAGAACTGAACTAAAACTAAACTAGATTTCAAAACTATAAGTAGCTGAAAATTTCCTATTTAAAATCTAGTTATTGTTTAATTATAGTGCACATTTACATCATCATTATAGAGAAATTACTCATGTGTTTAGTTTTCAACGCCCCCTTTTTAACAATAATAATTAATATTGCTTTTTATTTCATATTAAATTAAAAATAATTTAATTTTCAACTTGTATGCAACTCTTTAATAATAATTTCTGCAACTAAAAGTATGCAATATTTCTTACATTTTCTCTTTTCATCCCCTCCACTTAGCACGTTTTGTTTGTTATGAAATAATCAGTTACAATATGTATTTCTTTAGGACAGAATTCATATTTTTAGTTGCTCAAGAACTGCAGTATAGATTGTAAAACAAGTAAATACTAGATAGGGCTTTTTATAGCATTAGAATACTTCACAAAAACCCTTTTAATAACTTGAACTGAATAGTCGTTTCAAAATACAAACGAATATTTTTAAACGGCCTAAAAGTATGCAATGTTTTATACCAAAAATTATTTCAAGAGCCAGTAGTATATAAAGAACATAAACACTTTTTATATAAAAAAAAAGTATTTTTCTTTGAAATTCACAAATATTCATGGGAAAAACGAAATTCCATTGTAATACTTCAAACTTCTAGATTATGTAAGTTAAGGGGAATAACTAAAACATATATTGCTCATCTAAAGCCGCTTGCTTTTTCATAATTCTATTATTAAATTGAAACAAAATGTTTAATATAAATTATTGCTACCATAAAATCTAACTGATTGGATATTAATAATTCCATTACCCCTGCCAATCAGACGGCTAGCCAACTTTACTAGGAAATCTAAGAAGAAAAAAATTTCCATTGAAAAACACTCAAGGTTTCAAAAATAGAACAAAATCGATATTTACTTTTGTAAATGTCATCAACAATTACAGCGTTTCGTTGAAAACTCTTTTCTTCTACACAATTTTAATTATAAATTATACAAAAACTACATACAGTTTTTTTAAAATTTCAACATTTCAACATTTCAATATAAAACTGTATTTTTTGCTTATTATTCATACTTTTTTTAATTTAATTTTTAATCAGTTTTAAACAAACCTTTAAAATTTTGTTTCAAGTTCAGCTCTTTTTTCTACTGTTGTTGTTGTTTTTTTCTCTTTTGCAAAAAGTCAATACAAAGGAATTTTCTTCGGTGTTTTTTTTTTGCTTTTTGGACACCCACTTTTTTCGTACACTTTTACACTGTTTTATTATTAAATTATTAATAATTTATTAACAATTCTTTTCAATTATAAACCATATTTATTTGCTATGTTAGTTTTTTATGTTATAAGTGCAAATTTTATGTAAATTCTTTTACCTTTTCTTTTCTTGTATATCTCCCGTAAAAATTTTTCTGCAAACTTGTATCAAAGACCTGTGCCGACAAACATTAGTTACGTTGGCGGCTGACATTATAATTTTGATGACGGCGTTCTTTAAATTTCATCGTCGACTAGGCGATGCCATAAAACGGCAAAGTAATAAACAAAGTGTGTTTTGGGAATTGAGCGACCAGAAAGGGATAAGTAAGACAATTATTATGGACCTGCTCCCCAGGAACGAACATATTCTTTCCTATTTTATATTAAAGCAACAAATAAATTCTTAAATTTGTTGTTGTTTTCAATATAAAGTTAAAAAAGAAATGTGTCTCAACACTTTTATGTGTGGAGTGTTGCCGTATAGACAAATAATTCTCCTAGATTTCTAAAATACTCTCCCACTCATTTTTGACAAACAGCTGTTTTTGTTATCGATATTGCCACTTCTCTAGCAACAACATGTCATTTATAAATAAATAGAATTTTTTACTTGATTGGAGAACATTTTTCTGCTGAAAAATTTAATTTTTTAACAAAATTCTTAATAATTTTTAAATTAAATCGTTAAGGCTTAAAATTAAAAGTGTAAACAAGTAAACAAACATGAATAATCTTATAACAGCCGGAGAATTTGATTCCAAATATGACATTATTGATTCAGCAACACCTAGACACACTGCTCTATCGGGACGCTATAAAAGGTGATTATTTTAAAGAAATTTCCTTGTTTTATAATTAATTATTAATAGATTTTTGTTTATTTTAGGAGTTTTGCCTATTATACTTTACGCGAACGTTTGCCTGTTATTTTAACTGAAATTATTGATCAGTTAAATAGAGATAAAGATGAAATTGCCACACTGGGCAATGACGAGGTAAATTATTGCAAACAATTTAGAATTTCTAATTTGTACTATATAAGGGTCAATTAAGTGACCTTTTATTTATTAGATTAGATGGTGTGTTTATTTATTTATTGTATTGCATTTATAGTTTTTAATAAGTTGGTCAAAAAAATAGGTTTTCAAAGTCAAGTAATTTTTGTTATTGTTTTAGAACAGCAACAATTATGATTTTTTTAATAAAGAAGGTTTTGTTTATGAAAATGTAATAGATACAATTTAGATAGTTTATATTATCAATGAATGATGGAGTATTTCATTTATATATTACTTTTTTCATCCAGGAAACTCGGGAAGAAATTAAAGCTATTGTTGGTCAAATATCCAAACTGAAATATCAACTTCAAACTGATAAAAAATTTGAAAAATTCACTGCAGAAGGTAAATTTAACTGAACTAGAACATAAGTAGAACAGATCTGGAAAAGAAGTAGAACTGAACTAGATCAGAACTAGAACTAAACTAGAACTGAACTAGAACTGAACTAGATCTAAACGAGAACAAAAACAGAAGTAGAACTGAACTAGAACGAAACTAGAACTTTCGACAATTGTTAAAGACTGTTATTGTCCTTTGCAGAACCCGATAAAGACTTATGGAATAACTTCATTGAAAATCTACCCTCTGATGCCTGTTCATTCTTTCGTTCCTGTTGGCTGTATGCCGAATGTTATATGTATCGTAAAGTGTCTTCCTTTTTCGAAAGCACAAAATATCTTAAAAACTACGATTATTTTGCGAAACAAAAACAAAATGGTCTTAAAACGGAAGGCATTTTAGGTGCAGCTAAAGTTGTCAGACGTATCGAAAAAAATCAAAAGACATTTAGTAATTTAGTTAAACTTAACTTATGGGGCAATAAATGTGATTTATCACTTATCATGCGTAAAGCATTCACACCTTCCGATGATGTATTCGAACAATTGGAAGCGTTTAATAGCAATATATTGGTAGATAATATCAAACAAATATGGGATTGTTTGGAAACAGCCGATCACTCAAAACCTGTTATAGTGGAATTTGTAAATGATAATGCGGGCTTTGAGTTCTATACGGATTTGGTTTTGGCGGATTATATGATAGAAAAACAATTGGCCACAAAGGTGCGTTTTAGTGTAAAACCTATACCCTGGTATGTATCGGATGTTGTGCCCACAGATGTGCCCTGGACTTTGGACTATATGAGTAAACATGAATCGCCTTTTGTTAAGGAATTGGCAGCTAAATGGCAGCAATATTTTGATGAGGGTAAATTTGTTTTAAGTCCAGTAAACTATTTCTGGGTATCGCCCTATGAATATTACAAGTGAGTGAAAAGGAATTTGTATGAATTAACAATGAATAAAGCGTTTATATTTTTCCTGTAGAATGCGTGAAATAGCACCCGATTTGTATCAATATCTCAGTGAGGCTCATCTGGTTATTTTCAAGGGTGATTTGAATTATCGCAAACTATTGGGTGACTTATGCTGGGATCCCACAGAAGATTTTCTCACCTGTCTTAGAGGCTTCCAACCAACTAATATCTGCTCATTGCGCACTGTTAAAGCTGATCTAATATGTAGCTTGCCTCAGGGTAAGGCTGAGGAATTAAATCGTTTGGATACACAATGGATGTGTACAGGAGAGTATGGCGTCATAGAATTTATGGAAAAAACGGCTTGTGGTTGCCAAGAGGCTAAAGACAATTGAGGGATGGGAATCAAAATACTTTTTTTTTCTAAATCAATTAAATATTAACTATCAGACAAGATTTTTGTTATAATTTTTTCTATTGATACAAAATTTTTAATTTTTATTTTCTCTAAATGGTTAAAACCATTTTTAATAAAGAGTTTTGCTAAGCAAGATTAAGTTGAAAACTGTTAAAATTTAAAAGTTTAAAAAGAAATTTATTTTTGTTAAAAAATTTTCTCAAAATTTTTATAGATATAACTTTTTTGTCAAAAACTGCCGGCAGTTTTTTGTAGAAATAATTTTTTTTCAAAAACCGGGGCACCTACCAGTAGTTTCTTTAAAAAAAAAATTATTTTTTCTAAAAAACTGCCGGCAGTTTTCTTTAAAATTCATTTTTTCTGCCAGCAGTTTTCTATTGAAACTAATTATTCTGAGAATATTGCCAGTAGTTTTTTTTTTTAAATTCCACTTTCTTAAAAAAACTGCCAGCAGTTTTACATAAATATAAATTTTATGCTAGAAAACTGCCAGCAGTTTTCCATAGAAATCAATTTTAGCTGGAAAACTGCCAGTAGTTATATGTAAGAATTCAATTTCGTATAAAAACTGTCCGCAGTTTTTTACAGAAATAAAATTTTGTTAGAAAACTGCTAGCAGTTTTCTTTATAAATGCATTTTCCCTTAAAAAAATACACAATTTTCTACAGAAATCTATTTTCGTTAGAAAACTGCCAGCAGTTTTATTTATAAATTCATTTTCATATAAAAATTACCGGCAGTTTTCTATAAAAATCTATTTTTGTAGGAAAACTGGCAGCAGTTTTCTTTTGAAATTAATTTTCGTTAGAAAACTGCCAGCAGTTTTTTATAGATATTGATTTTTATTAAAGACCTGCTATCAGTTTTTTTTTTAGAAATTAATTTTAGTTAAAAAACTGAACATTTTTTTTTTTTTAAATTCATTTTTGTTAGAAAACTGCCAGCAGTTTTCTATAGATATTAAGTTTTGAATTAAGAATTGATCTTTGTTTGAAAACTACCAGCAGTTTTCTTCGGAAATCTATTTTTCTAAGAAAACTGCCAGCAGTTTTTTGTAAAAAATAATTTTTATTACAAAATTGCCATTATTTTTTTTTTTTTAATTGCCAGCAATTTTCTTTCGAAATACATCTTGTTAAAAAACTGCCGGCAAATATATTTTTGTTTATTGTCCAATTTTGAAAACAAAACGCTTTTTTCAATTCTAGCGTTTTTTTCATACTCAAAAGCTTTTTTCCTAAAAGAGGTGAATTCCTCCTCCTGCCTCAAGGTCATCCGGAGAAATAGAAAACAGCTGTTGCTGCTGCAGTCCCATATACTACATATTCACATTAAAATTAATTATTATAGTATAAAGACAACCAACCTTGAGCACTAACTGAATGGTAAGAGACAAAAATAAAAATATAAACAAAATACATACATATTGCACCAACAATTTTCACTGCAAATAAAAACACAAACAAAGAAGCAGTTGTTGTAAAATTATTAAAAATAAAATCAAATTAAAAGTAAACGTTACAAATATTTGAAATAACGTCTTTTTCAAGTTTCAAATAGAAAAGTGCAACAACAATCGATCTTAAACAGCAGAAAACTGCCAACAGTTTTTTTGAGAAAACTCTTAAAATTAATAACTTTATGATAAAAACTGTTACCGGTTTTCTATAGCTATTCATTTTTGTCAGAAAACTGTCAGCAGTTTCTACGGAAATTAATTTTTCTCACAAAACTTCCAACAGTTTTCTAAGGAAAGTCGTTTTCATAACTAATATTCACTATCGGCAGTTTTATATATTCGTTCCATAAATAGTTTTTGTTAAAAAGCCACTTGGATATCGCAAATAATTATTGTTAAAAACTGTTGTCAGTTTTTTTTTAACAACTAAATTTTAAAAAAACTGCTGGCAGTTTTCTATAGTAGTTTATTCAAAAAACCTTTTTGTTAATGAACAGTTGTCAGTTTGTGTTTTTAAACAGCTTTAGTGAGAAAACTGCCGGCAGTTTTCCATTGCAGTTCGTTTATCAACCATTTTTTTGTGAGAAAAACGATGTGAGTTTTTTTGCTAAACAACTTAGGTGGCAAAACTGCCGGCAGTTTTCTGTGGTAGTATGTTTAAAAATTGTTTAATGTTATAAAACTGTTATCAGTTTTTTTGTTAAGCAGTATTAATATGAAAACTGTTGCAAGTTTTCTAGAAAATCATAAAGGGGGAAAACTAGTGAATTTGAAAAACTGCAGTTTTCTGATGAAATTTGAGTTAGTTAGTTAGTTAGTTAGTTAGGTAGTTAGTTAGTTAGTTAGTTAGTTAGTTAGTTAGTTAGTTGGTTAGTTAGTTAGTTAGTTAGTTAGTTAGTTAGTTAGTTAGTTAGTTAGTTAGTTAGTTAGTTAGTTAGTTAGTTAGTTAGTTAGTTAGTTGGTTAGTTGGTTAGTTAGTTAGTTAGTTAGTTAGTTAGTTAGTTAGTTAGTTAGTTAGTTAGTTAGTTAGTTAGTTAGTTAGTTAGTTAGTTAGTTAGTTAGTTAGTTAGTTAGTTAGTTAGTTAGTTAGTTAGTTAGTTAGTTAGTTAGTTAGTTAGTTAGTTAGTAGTTAGTTAGTTAGTTAGTTAGTTAGTTAGTTAGTTAGTTAGTTAGTTAGTTAGTTAGTTAGTTAGTTAGTTAGTTAGTTAGTTAGTTAGTTAGTTAGTTAGTTAGTTAGTTAGTTAGTTAGTTAGTTAGTTAGTTAGTTTAGTTAGTTAGTTAGTTAGTTAGTTAGTTAGTTAGTTAGTTAGTTAGTTAGTTAGTTAGTTAGTTAGTTAGGTAGTTAGTTAGGTAGTTAGTTAGTAGTTAGTTAGTTAGTTAGTTAGTTAGTTAGTTAGTTAGTTAGTTAGTTAGTTAGTTAGTTAGTTAGTTAGTTAGTTAGTTAGTTAGTTAGTTAGTTAGTTAGTTAGTTAGTAGTTAGTTAGTTAGTTAGTTAGTTAGTTAGTTAGTTAGTTAGTTAGTTAGTTAGTTAGTTAGTTAGTTAGTTAGTTAGTTAGTTCGTTAGTTAGTTAGTTAGTTAGTTAGTTACTTAGTTAATTAGTTAGTTAGTTAGTTAGTTAGTTAGTTAGTTAGTTAGTTAGTTAGTTAGTAGTTAGTTAGTTAGTAGTTAGTTAGTTAGTTAGTTAGTTAGTTAGTTAGTTAGTAGTTAGTTAGTTTAGTTAGTTAGTTAGTTAGTTAGTTAGTTAGTTAGTTAGTTAGTTAGTTAGTTAGTTAGTTAGTTAGTTAGTTAGTTAGTTAGTTAGTTAGTTAGTTAGTTAGTTAGTTAATTAGTACAAAAACATAATATTATTCATACGTCCCCCTTCACTTTTCTTTTTCCGATCACCAGTGTTGTATGATGAATATTTTAATAGAAGAAAATGAAAACGCACGTATACGCTGTGTAACACCAAACTAAATGCAAAATATTCGTTTTTTCCCTTCCACCCCAACTTTTGTTTAAAACATAAAACTGTAAACAACAACAAAATATAATAATATAAACAAAACCAGACGAAAAATATTGCAACTAAAAAGAACATGATAAAAATCAATAAAATTCTTACATGTGCTGAGTCGCTGCATTTCTCTCTGCAGCTGAGGCTCTGCCACTGCATTTCTTTTATGCTTGACATTTACTAGTTTGTAGAGAGATGCACTATTTTCTGCATCTCTTTTTAAATTTTCATTATTGTTTTACTGCTGATGTTTTGTTGTTATTGTTGTTTGCTATTTTATTGTCAAATATTGTGGCATGTTTAACTGACAACTAAGATTATTGGTGCAAATCGAATTTCTAGTTTGTTTTTTTGGGGTTTTTAATAGAAAATTTAAAAAAATATTATTATTTTTATTAACAAAAGTAGTTGAAAATATTTTTTTTTTTAATTCAAAATAATAATTGTGGAAAAAGTTAATTTAGATTATTGTATATTAAATTATTTTGCAGAAAATCTTTACTATGGTAAGTATGGAAGATGATGATGTAAAATCTAAAAACAAATTTTAATGCAATATGCCTGCTTCTTCTTCTATTCTATGACGTCCTTGATAATATTTTTGGGTGTGTGTGTGTGTGCAAAAAAGTCTTTGGGTTCTCCTGCTATTCAAAATGATCAAATTATAAATGAAAATTGTAATCCATTGGATTTAGATGAATTCGATCTTAAACATGGCATTATTAATGGTCCTACCCCGCCAAATGTTCCCTTGAAAGGTCAATATAAACAAAGTTTTGCCTATTACACCTTTCGTCAACGTTTGCCCAATACTTTGAATACTATATTCAAATCTTTAGAGCAAACAGGGCAAGAAAAGGAATTTCCTTATTCCCCAGAGGAATTGAATTCTGTTAGAGAACAAGTTGTACAACTAAAAAAACAACTGGAAAATAATGAACCATTACAGTTATTTAAAGGAAATGGTAAGTTTGTTCTTCTCATATAAGAAAAATTAACAAATTTTCTTATTTTTAGAAACCGATCGTAAGTTATGGAATTCCTTTATTTCAAATCTTGCTGCCGAACAAAACAGCTTTTATAAAACCTGTTGGTTGTATGCCGAATGTTATATGTATCGCAAATTGGCCTCGTTCTTTGAGGCTACACAAACTCTAACAAATTACGATTTTTTTGCACAACAGAAATTCCAGGCTCTTAAACTGGCCTCTGAAGTAATGGTACAGGTAGCCCAGAATACCCAAAATCCTGAAAACAATGTACAAACTTTTCAAAAACTCTTAAAGGTAAGAAAAACACATACATAAACAAAATACTCACCTGCTCTCTCCTTACAGCTTAATCTTTGGGGCAATCGTTGTGATTTATCCATAACCTCGGGTCAGGAAGTAAAACCTTTAGGCAATCTTATGGATATCATTGACACACTAAATGACAATATATTGATTGATCATAGTGCAGCCATATGGCATTGTTTACAGCATCACCATGATTCCAGAGTTATTGTTGATTTTATCTGCGATAATGCTGGTTTTGAATTATTTACTGATCTTTTATTGGCTCAATATCTAATCGATCATAGATTATGCCATACAGTGCGTTTTAATTTGAAATCTATACCCTGGTATGTATCTGATACTACGGCTCAAGATGTTCATGGAACATTGAAATATTTGAAGGAACATCAATCGTTGGAATTAAAACGTTTGGGTAATATTTGGTCACAGTACTTTGAAGATGAGCGTTTCGTTTTGGCCTCCAGGGAGGATTTTTGGACGTCGCCTTATGAGTTCTATAGGTAAGGGAGAGAAGAAGTTATTGTCGAATCTAATAGTCTGAACTATAGTCTAGATTATAGTCTGGAATATAGCCTAGTTTATAGTCTGAACTATAGTCTAGTTTTTAGTTTATAGTCAAAACTATAGTTTAGTCTATAGTCTTGGCCAAAGTCTGAACTAAAGTCTATAGTCTGGACTATAGTCTAGTCTATAGTCTGGGCTATAGTCTGGCCTATAGTCTGGTCTATAGTCTAGTCTATAGTATAGTCTATATTCTAATCAATAGTCTATTCTATAGTCCACAGACTGGACAATAGACTAGACTATAGACTAGACTATAGGCCAGACTATAGTCCAGACTATAGACTAGACTATAGTCCAGAATATAGACCAGACTATAGACTAGACTATAGTGCAGATTATAGACTAGGCTATAGTCCAGATTATAGATAGTCTGGACTATAGTCTAGTCTATAGTCTGGACTATAGTTTAGTCTGTAGTCTGGACTATAGTCTAGTCTGTAGTCTGGACTATAGTCTAGTCTATAGTCTGGACTATAGTCTAGTCTATAGTCTGGACTATAGCCTAGTCTATAGTCTAGACTATAGCCTAGTCTATAGTATAATCTATAGTCTGTACTATAGTCTAGTCTATAGTATAATCTATAGTCTGGACTATAGTCTAGTCTATAGTCTGGACTATAGTCTAGTCTATAGTCTGGTCTATAGTCTAGTCTATAGTCTGGTCTATAGTCTAGTCTATAGTCTGGTCTATAGTTAGTCTATAGTCTGGACTATAGTCTAGTCTATAGTCTGGACTATAGTCTAGTCTATAGTCTGGACTATAGTCTAGTCTAGTCTATAGTCTGGACTATAGTCTAGTCTAGTCTATAGTCTGGACTATAGTCTAGTCTATAGTCTGGACTATAGTCTAGTCTATAGTCTAGACTATAGTCTAGTCTATAGTCTAGACTATAGTCTAGTCTATAGTCTGGACTATAGTCTAGTCTGTAGTCTGGACTATAGTCTAGTCTATAGTCTGGACTATAGTCTAGTCTGTAGTCTAGTCTATAGTCTGGACTATAATCTAGTCTATAGTCTTGACTATAGTCTAGTCTATAGTCTGGACTATAGTCTAGTCTATAGTCTGGACTATAGTCTAGTCTATAGTCTAGACTATAGTCTAGTCTATAGTCTGGACTATGGTCTAGTCTATAGTCTGGACTATGGTCTAGTCTATAGTCTGGACTATGGTCTAGTCTATAGTTTATAGCTGTACTACAGGCTAGTCTATAGTCTTAACTACAATCTAGTCTGAACTATAGTCTAGTCTATAGTCTTGACTATAGTCTAGTTTATAGTCTTGTATATAGTCTGGACTATAGTCTAGTCTATAGTCTGGACTATAGTCTACTATATAGTCTACACTATAGTCTATAGTCTAATCTATAGTGTGGTCTACAATCTATAGTATGGACTATAGTCTAGTTTATAGTCCGGACTATAGTTTAGTCTATAGTATGGACTGTAGTCTTGACTATAGTCTAGTTTATAATCTAGGCTATAGTCTAGTCTAGAGTGTCGACTATAGTTTCGTCTATAGCCTGACGTCTATATAGCCTGAGTCTATATTACAGTCTAGTATATAGTCTGGACTATGGTGTAGTCTATAGACTAGTCCGTATTATAGTTTAGTCAGTACTATAGTCTAGTCTAGTATATAGTCCAATTTAAGTCTTAATTTTACTCTTCTTCCAGAATGCCTGACATTAACGCTTCCCTCTACCAAACGCTCCAACAATCCGCTTTACTAATCTTCAAAGGTGATTTAAACTATCGCAAACTTTTGGGTGATTTCAATTGGGATTTTAGTGAAAAATTTGAAACCTGTCTACGTGGATTTCGACCCACAAATCTATGCACTTTACGCACAGTTAAAGGAGATTTAATATGTGATCTCAAACCGGGACTAGCGGAAGAGTTAAGCAGACAAAATAAAGACTGGATGTTTACCGGAGAATATGGTTTAATACAATTCTTAAGCAAGGAGTAGAGGAAACAAAAAACGAGTTCAAATCTCTATATAAATAGTAAAATATGTAATTGTTGTTCGTTTTCAAATAAATGTATATTTCTAAATTGTTATTTGTTACAATATTTTGTAAGATTTTTCATTTTCTTGGATTGTTTTTGTTTTTCTTTTTTTATTTTTTCTGCTACTACAATTTGTTAACTGGCTAAAACAATATTATTTTTTTAGTTTTTATATTTATAATTATTTAATAGTTTAGTCTATTATTATTTTTTTAATTTTATGGGGTTTGTTTAAAAATAAATTTATGTTAAATTTACATAATTGCTATTTTTGTTTAAATTATTTATTTTAAATGTTCTGAACCTGTTTTTTTTTTGTTGTTATTGTAATGCTTAAATAAATATGTGCGATTTATGACAAAGAATAAAATAGAGTAAATGTATAGTTTTTTTTTTAAGAAAAATTTTGGATTTTTCATTGAAATATTCTTGTTTTTTCTCAAAAAAGAAGTTTAATTTTTTAAAGGTTTTATTATTTTGTTGTATCTTATAAACATAAAATGATATGAGTTTTATCGTTAACATTAACGATAGATTTTTCAAAAAGTTAAGAGATTTTCTTTATTATTAACTAAAAAACAAACAATAAGGATTATAAAATTAGCAATTTAGTCCTACTTGGTATTATTAAACGTTTAACGTCAAATTTTGTTTATACAGAAAAAGTTTCAAAACTAAAATTTAAACAAACTATTGGAAGTTAAGAATAGCATAAATTATAAAGTAAGTTTTCTAATAGTTAATATGTTTTGTTTTAAAGTCTTTGTGCTAATTATGTAACCCTTGCTGTTAGGCTTTCTTTAACACATTTTGTTAAAAATTAAATATATTTTCTTACAATTCAATTACTAGGTTTACATTAAGACTATACAAAAGTTATTTATTTACAAAAAAAAAACTGAACAGATGTTTTTAAGACAAAAGACTAAAATCCAGACTTAAGACTAGACTATATAGTCTAGCCATAAACAGACTATAATCCAGACTACAGACAACACTGTAGTCCAGTCTGTAAACTATAGTCCGGACTAATAACCACACATTAACCACTAGAATATAGTTCTGTCTTCAGACTAGACGACAGCCGTTGATTGTACTTTAGTCTAGAGTATAAACTATACTAAGTATAGTTCATACTATTATGTACACTAGATAGTCTAGACTTTAGACTTTATTTTAAATCTTAAAACATCTTTTTAATTAGTTTTTACTCTTCTAGTTTTCACAATTTCAAATGTTTTAAAAATCTAGAATAGTTTTTTAACCAAAGACCACTTGTTTTTATTATTTTGGGGGATTTTTTTGAGTTGTAAAAATTTTGTTGTAAAGATTTTAACTAATATCACTTTATATATTATTTATTCATTCAATTAATTCTTTATTATTAAGGTTTGTTATTTTATTATTCTTATTTTAATGCCAATTTCATGTCATCCATCTAATTTATAAATTATTTGAACTTGCAAGGAATGGGTATAAATTTTACAGTTTTCTTTCTTTGTTATAATCAATTCTTTTTTACTCTATGGTCTAGTTTGTAGTCTGGGCTATAGTCTAGTTTAAGTCTGGACTAAAGTCTAGTTAATAGACGGAACTATTGTATATAGTCTAGAGTATAGTCTAGTCTATTGTCTAGTCTGTAGACTAATCTATAGTTTAGTTTATAGTCTATAGACTAGTCTATATTCCAGTAACTAGTCTATAATCTATTGTCTAAACTATAGTCTAGTCCATAGCCTAGATTATATTCTGGTCTATAGTCTAGTCTGTAGTCTAGTCTAGTCTAGTCTATAGTCTAGTCTATAGTATAGTCTATAGTCTAGTCTATAGTCTAGTCTATAGTCTAGTCTATAGTCTAGTCTATAGTCTAGTCTATAGTCTAGTCTATAGTCTAGTCTATAGTCTAGTCTAGTCTAGTCTACAGTCTAGTCTACAGTCTAGTCTATAGTCTAGTCTATAGTTTAGTCTATAGTCTAGTCTATACTCTAGTCTATAGTCTAGTCTATAGTCTAGTCTATAGTCTAGTCTATAGTCTAGTCTATAGTCTAGTCTATAGTCTAGTCTATAGTCTAGTTTATAGTCTAGTCTATAGTCTAGTCTATAGTCTAGTCTATAGTCTAGTCTATAGTCTAGTCTATAGTCTAGTCTATAGTCTAGTCTATAGTCTAGTCTATAGTCTAGTCTATAGTCTAGTCTATAGTCTAGTCTATAGTCTAGTCTATAGTCTAGTCTATAGTCTAGTCTATAGTCTAGTCTATAGTCTAGTCTATAGTCTAGTCTGTAGTCTAGTCTATAGTCTAGTCTATAGTCTAGTCTATAGTCTAGTCTATAGTCTAGTCTATACACTAGTCCATAGTCTAGTCTATTGTCTAGTCTAGAGTTTAGTCTCTAGTCTAGTCTATAGTCAAGTCTATAGTCTAGTCTATAGTCTAGTCTATAGTCTAGTCTATAGTCTAGTCTATAGTCTAGTCTATAGTCTAGTCTATAGTCTAGTCTATAGTCTAGTCTATAGTCTAGTCTATAGTCTAGTCTATAGTCTAGTCTATAGTCCAGTCTATAGATTAGTCTATAGTATAGTCTGTAGTCTAGTCTATAATCTAGTCTGTAGTCTAGTCTATAGTCTAGTCTGTAGTCTAGTCTAGAGTCTATAGTCTAGTCTAGAGTTTAGTCTCTAGTCTAGTCTATAGTCAAGTCTATAGTAAAGTCTATAGTCTAGTCTATAGTCTAGTCTTTAGTCTAGTCTATAGTCTAGTCTATAGTCTAGTTTATAGTCTAGTCTATAGTCTAGTCTATAGTCTAGTATATAGTCTAGTCTATAGTCTAGTCTATAGTCTAGTCTATAGTCTAGTCTATAGTATAGTCTATACTCTAATCTATAGTCTAGTCTTGTGTACATTCTAAACTACAGTCTACTCTGTAGTTTGGTCTATAGTCTAGAGTATGGTCTGCTCTATAGTCTACTCTATAGTCTAGTCTATAGTGCAGTCTATAGTCTAGTTTATAGTCTAGTATATAGTCTAGTCTATAGTCTTGTCTACTCTTTAGTCTAGTCTATAATCTAGTCTATAGTCTAGTCTACTCTATAGTTTAGTCTAAAGTCTAGTCTACAATGTAGTCTATAGTCCAGTCTATAGTCTAGTTTATAGTCTAGTATATAGTCTAGTCTATAGTTTAGTCTATAGTCTAGTCTATAGTCAAGTCTATAGTCTAGTCTAGAGTTTAGTCTAGTCTATAGTCAAGTCTATTGTCAAGTCTATAGTCTAGTCTATAGTCTAGTCTATAGTCTAGTCTATAGTCTAGTCTATAGTCTAGTCTATAGTCTAGTCTATAGTCTAGTCTAGTCTATAGTCTAGTCTATAGTCTAGTCTATAGTCTAGTTTATAGTCTAGTCTATAGTCTAGTCTATAGTCTAGTATATAGTCTATTCTATAGTCTAGTCTATAGTCTAGTCTATAGTATAGTCTATAGTCTAATCTATAGTCTAGTCTATAGTCTAATCTATAGTCTAGTCTTGTGTACATTCTAGACTGCAGTCTAGTCTGTAGTTTGGTCTATAGTCTAGAGTATGGTCTACTCTACAGTCTACTCTATAGTCTAGTCTATAGTCTAGTCTATAGTCTAGTCTATAGTCTAGTACATAGTCTAGCCTATAGTCTTGTATATAGTCTAGCCTATAGTCTATTCTATAGTATAGTCTATAGTCTAGTCTATAGTCTATTATATAGTATAGTCTATAGTCTAGTCTATAGCCTATTCTATAGTCTAGTCGTAGTCTACTGTATAGTCAAGTCATATAGTTAGGTCTACAGTGCTAGTCTATAGTCTTGTCTATAGTCTAATCTATAGTCTAGTCTTTAGTCTAGTCTATAGTCTACTCTATAGTCTAGTCTATAGTCTAGCCTATAATCTAAAGTCTAGTCTATAGTCTTGTCTATATATATTCTGATCTGTAATCTAGACTATAGTCTATAGAAAACAGATTTTCTATATTAAAAAGAAAAACTTATTTTGTTTAGAAAAACCTACCAAATTTTCTATATAGACAAAAGAAATAATAAACAACCAAAGAAATTTTACATTTTATATAAATACATTTATATCAATCTTTCATTATTTTTTTTGTTTGTTTGTTGTTTTTATACATTATACATTAATTAATAATAACTTTACAGTGTTTTGTTGTTAATTATATGTTATTGATTGTGTTTAGACCACTTTAAACGAATTTAAACAAAAAATAAAACAATAATTTTGCAAAAAAAAATGTTGTAATTTAAAAAAACAGAAACACATAGTAAAAAGAAAGGAATTTTGTTTATTGCTTCTTACACTAAAAAACTATTGTTGCTTATTTTAAATAGATGTAAGAATATTTAATAATTATGATATTTTATTTAAATATTACTATGATTTAATAAGTTTTATGTGGAGTTTTGTGGGGTGGTGAAGATTGGTGTGAAGAGGTGAGGAGTGTTGAAAATAGTAGGTGAATATATAGCTAAACCTATAAAAATTAGTTAAACTTATTTAAAATATGCAGCAAATTACGAAACAAAAGTGTATGTAATTGTGTGTGGTCAGATTATTAATGTTTGTTGGGTGATTATATGATATGGTGTTTATGCTGTGTGAAGGGGAGGGGGGTGGAGGAGGAGGTGAAAGGAAAGTTTAACCTATTATTTAAGTTTAAAATATCCTGGTCTCAAGTTTTCTGTTTGTTTTATATTTTAAAATTTTATTTTTGTTCGTAGGTTTTCTTTTTTTTTTTATTATTAAGATAATTTTATTTTAATATTTATTATATGTATAAGTATATACTTTCATCACATTTATCTTTATGTTTGCAAATCTATTCAAAAAACTTTCAATTATTCCACGGCAAAACCACAAGTTTCTTCTACAGCTTGTGTAAGTTTATCATACAGCAGTTGATAACTGTCATAGGGTGGCAAATCTATACGATTGAAACATGTATGAGCTTTGGGTAGATTTTGTGTGGGTACATCTTGTGTCAAGTGTATAGTAAAAAGTCGTGGTCCGACTGCGCCAGTAGAACCCTGTAAAGCACGAAAACCTTGTAAAGGAACACGCGAAGAACCGGTAACAAATTGTAAAAGTCTAGCACGCATTTCCGAAGAATAGGATTCCACCACCTGTAACAAAACACAAAAACATTATTCAAAAATCATCACAGATTTCCATGAATTCCACAACACCCACCTGCCAAAACCATATAACTTGTTGGGTTTCCGGTGTACAATGTTTCAGTCTCGTATTGTTGCGCCAATCGTTGACATCAATACTGGATATACCGCCAATAACCAATTCCAATTCGCGTTCATCAAATGGTCTCAATAAATGACTTGGTATCAATTCACAAAAGCCTATTGGTTTAAGAAAATTTTAATATTAAATTATTTAGTTGTTGTTGTTGTTGTTTTGTCCACTAAATACCTTTTTGTAATGCTAAAAATTGTTGTTCAATACCCCGCATAAATCTATAATTAACATATAGCTTAACATATTCACGTTTATTATCCTCTGTTACTGGTATGGAAGCGCCCGATGGTTTAAGTTCATGTACAACTAAAGCACCAAAACTATTATTTTCTACACTAAATGTAGATTCTATAACATTTGTTATATTGTTTTCTCTGGAAGGATATAAACAAAAGGAAAATATTTAAGAAAATTCTCCAAGAAAACAGATTTTCTTTATTGTTCAGATTACAGCCATTTTATTGTCGAGACTATAGTCGAGCCTATAGGTTGTCTATAGTAAAGGCTATAGTCTGTCCATAGCTATGACAATAGTCTGTCAGAATCAACACTATAGTCAAGACTATTGTCTATCTATAGCTGACACTATAGTCTATCTATAGTCAAGACTACATTATGTCTATAGTCGAGAATAGAATATAGTCATCTACTATATATCCTAGTCTATAGTCTAGTTTATAGTCTAGTCTATAGTCTAGTCTATAGTCTAGTCTATAGTCTAGTCTATAGTCTAGTCTATAGTCTAGTCTATAGTCTAGTCTATAGTCTAGTCTATAGTCTAGTCTATAGTCTAGTCTATAGTCTAGTCTATAGTCTAGTCTATAGTCTAGACTAGACTAGACTATAGACTAGTCTATAGTCTAGTCTATAGTCTAGTCTATAGTCTAGTCTATAGTCTAGTCTATAGTCTAGTCTATAGTCTAGTCTATAGTCTAGTCTATAGTCTAGTCTATAGTCTAGTCTATAGTCTAGTCTATAGTCTAGTCTATAGTCTAGTCTATAGTCTAGTCTATAGTCTAGTCTATAGTCTAGTCTATAGTCCAGTCTATAGTCTAGGCTATAGTCTAGTCTATAGTCAAGTCTATAGTCTAGTCTATAGTCTAGTCTATAGTCTAGTCTAGTCTATAGTCTAGTCTAGTCTAGTCTAGTCTAGTCTAGTCTAGTCTAGTCTAGTCTAGTCTAGTCTAGTCTAGTCTATAGTCTAGTCTAGTCTATAGTCTAGTCTATAGTCTAGTCTATAGTCTAGTCTATAGTCTAGTCTATAGTCTAGTCTATAGTCTAGTCTATAGTCTAGTCTATAGTCTAGTCTATAGTCTAGTCTATAGTCTAGTCTATAGTCTAGTCTATAGTCTAGTCTATAGTCTAGTCTATAGTCTAGTCTATAGTCTAGTCTATAGTCTAGTCTATAGTCTAGTCTATAGTCTAGTCTATAGTCTAGTCTATAGTCTAGTCTATAGTCTAGTCTATAGTCTAGTCTATAGTCTAGTCTATAGTCTAGTCTATAGTCTAGTCTATAGTCTAGTCTATAGTCTAGTCTATAGTCTAGTCTATAGTCTAGTCTATAGTCTAGTCTATAGTCTAGTCTATAGTCTAGTCTATAGTCTAGTCTATAGTCTAGTCTATAGTCTAGTCTATAGTCTAGTCTATAGTCTAGTCTATAGTCTAGTCTATAGTCTAGTCTATAGTCTAGTCTATAGCCTAGTCTATAGTCTAGTCTTTAGTCTAGTCTATAGTCTAATCTATAGTCTAATCTATAGTCTAATCTATAGTCTAGTCTATAGTCTAGTATATTGCCTATAGTCTAGTCTATAGTTTAGTCTGTACTCAAGTCTACAGTATAGTCTATTGTCTCCAATCTCAATACTCACAACATCCATGTTAAACTTCTATGTAGTTCCGGATCAACACCCTCTATATCACTTAAAGTAATGGGTTTATTGAGCAATTGTTTATAGAACGGTGTCGTAAAGCCGCCATCCAAACAATGACCATGAAATACCGCAATGCCCAGAATACGACCGACAAAATGAAAATATGATAAATGATCAGGATTCACACCAGAATCGGGATTTATCTGCAATGTATAGTGATCATCACGACTGTACTGAAAGAGACCATACTGTGGATTGAGCATTTCACGCGAGAGTAGATGTAACCATTCACGGGCCACACCACCATAGTCGAGACCTTCCTCGCCCTTGAATTTAACCATCAGTCGTTTGCGCATATCCTTGGGACGCATTTTCATGATCAGTCTATAACTCTCCTCGAAGATTTCATTACGTGATACCTCTAGACGGCAGTGGCCAGATTGTGGTTGTAGAGCTTGCAGTTCGGTGCGTAAAGCTCTTAGTTTGCCTACTAAGTCGCGACGGTATTTGGGTAATAGATCGGCTCCCTCTAGTAGCCCTTGGGGTAGATCGGCTGGCACCGCACGCCCTTCAGTGGGTATAATGATCGAATTATTGCCAGCCGTTGAGCGATGTGGTGTGTGTAAGGAGTTGGGCGTAGCAGCCGAACCTCCTAAAGGATGTGAGGCGGCGGGGGATAAATGTTGTATAATACTGCCATTACCAGAACCCACTCCCCCACTGCCACTATTATTACTACTACTAACGCCTGCCGTATTGCTGCTAGAGTTAGAGGAAGTATTAGCATTACTGACTCCAGCTGAGCTGGAGCTGCCACCACTGCCAGCTGTTGGAGCGGGCACTACTCCTCTACGTATTAATTGCAATATATTGCCATTGAGCCTTGGATCTGTAAATTGTGTTGTCCTGTTGTTGTGATCTACAAAATACACTCTACCCGAGGCGGTTTTTCTTTGCTCCCAACCACTGGGTAATGGTCCTATAGCATCTAGTGTTAAATTTTCTGTATGAAAATCTCTGGGTATCCGAGGATCATGCCAGGTTGAGATGGCTGTGGGTATGTGATAAAAATACACTTGACCCTGTTGGGTAATGCGCATTTCATAGCCTGGAGGCAAATCCATAAAGGGACGAGCAGCCTGATTAACGGGACCTCCGGGAGGAGGACCTGGATATCTGTGGGCATTACTGTTATTAGACCGGGCACTACGAGAACCTCGTCGTCTGGCGGATTCTTCTGCAGACCTGGAGGAACGTCTCTGTGAACGTTGAGAACCAGCAGCAGCAGCCGCCGAGGAAGTGGATGCCGTTGTGGGAGTACTGTTGGTTTGTGTACGTGACTCTCCTCTCGAGGATTCAGTGCTAACTCTTTCCCGTTGCGAGCTGCTGCCATGATTGTTGCTAGAACTGGTAGGTGTGGCCTGTTGATTGCTGTTAGAGGTTGTATTTGAAGAGTTGGCATTGGGACTTTGTACCGTAGCACCACCTCCTCCTACTCCCCCTCCTGTTGCTGTACTAGCTGAGCTATTGGCTAAGCCATTATTACCATTTGTAGTGGGACTGTGACGTGTACTAGAGTCTCCCTCATTGGCATTCCATGTTATACTGTTGCCGGCCGATTGGGGTTGAGCAGATTGTGGACTACCATTACAAGTGTTGTTGCTGTTTGTATTGGTATTACCATTTGTTAGATTTTGGGCAGTTTGTATACGTTGATGTGTGGTGGTGCCGTTTGCTGTTTCATTATGTATATGATGGCCATTGGTCAAGGAAGCTGGTGCGGTAGAGGCATGTTTAGGTGTTTTGCTAACATGTCCACTATCACTGATTTGATGTTGATGTCGGGGGGTTTGAGGTCCGGTCGCTGTCGAATTTTCCGCGGCAGCTATTACACCATTATTCACAGCGGCTGTAGTGCCACTGGTGGGCGATGTATTTGAGCGATTAGATTTCCTACTGTTGGGTGTTATAGCCGCAGTATTAGTGCTGCTTTCCTTGGGCGTTTGTTCTCCTCTCGAGGGGCTACAGTTTTCCTTGCCCAAACTTACTGCCGAAGTGTTATTGGGAGTCGATAGTATTTCTGTTGAATGCCTCCTCTCATCATTATCTCTCCCACTTCTACTACTGTGACCGTTTAATAAATTAGTGCAAGTAGTAGAACGTGTGGGTCCAGCTGGATGATGAGCGCTACCATTCTGTTGGGCAGAACGATGATGCTGCTGCTGTTGTGCCGTTGGCTGATGATGTTGATGCTGTTGCTGATGGCTGTGTTGATTATTATGTTTACTAGGACGATCCCATTGTGTGGTTTTTGTCGTATGATTTACATAGTAAACACGACCATTTCCCGTACGTCTTTCTTCCCAACCCTCGGGCAGACTATCCTCTGAGGAATCATCTTCAGAAGGACCTCTAACATCGCCGCCTGGTCCTACAATGGCTAAAGGATTACCACTGCAGGGACCATCTTTCGAGAGGAAAGCAATGATTATTTGACCACGCACCATTTCATCATCATCCGAGGCAAATTTACCCAAATCCAGACGTTGGACTAAAAGAGAAAAAAGGAAAATTGTATTAATTTCTAAAATATAATAATTACTTAAGTTGTAGTTCAGTTCTGGTTCAGTTCTAGTTTAGTTCTAGTTCAGTTCTAGTTCAGTTCTAGTTCTAGTTCAGTTCTAGTTCAGTTCTAGTTCAGTTCTAGTTCAGTTCTAGTTCAGTTCTAGTTCAGTTCTAGTTCAGTTCTAGTTCAGTTCTAGTTCAGTTCTAGTTCAGTTCTAGTTCAGTTCTAGTTCAGTTCTAGTTCAGTTCTAGTTCAGTTCTAGTTCAGTTCTAGTTCAGTTCTAGTTCAGTTCTAGTTCAGTTCTAGTTCAGTTCTAGTTCAGTTCTAGTTCAGTTCTAGTTCAGTTCTAGTTCAGTTCTAGTTCAGTTCTAGTTCAGTTCTAGTTCAGTTCTAGATCAGTTCTAGTTCAGTTCTAGTTCAGTTCTAGATTCAGTTCTAGTTCAGTTCTAGTTCAGTTCTAGTTCAGTTCTAGTTCAGTTCTAGTTCAGTTCTAGTTCAGTTCTAGTTCAGTTCTAGTTCAGTTCTAGTTCAGTTCTAGTTCAGTTCTAGTTCAGTTCTAGATCAGTTCTAGTTCAGTTCTAGTTCAGTTCTAGTCAGTTCTAGTTCAGTTCTAGTTCAGTTCTAGTTCAGTTCTAGTTCAGTTCTAGTTCAGTTCTAGTTCAGTTCTAGTTCAGTTCTAGTTCAGTTCTAGTTCAGTTCTAGTTCAGTTCAGTTCAGTTCTAGTTCAGTTCTAGTTCAGTTCTAGTTCAGTTCTAGTTCAGTTCTAGTTCAGTTCTAGTTCAGTTCTAGTTCAGTTCTAGTTCAGTTCTAGTTCAGTTCTAGTTCAGTTCTAGTTCAGTTCTAGTTCAGTTCTAGTTCAGTTCTAGTTCAGTTCTAGTTCAGTTCTAGTTCAGTTCTAGTTCAGTTCTAGTTCAGTTCTAGTTCAGTTTCTAGTTCAGTTCTAGTTCAGTTCTAGTTCAGTTCTAGTTCAGTTCTAGTTCAGTTCTAGTTCAGTTCTAGTTCAGTTCTAGTTCAGTTCTAGTTCAGTTCTAGTTCAGTTCTAGTTCAGTTCTAGTTCAGTTCTAGTTCAGTTCTAGTTCAGTTCTAGTTCAGTTCTAGTTCAGTTCTAGTTCAGTTCTAGTTCAGTTCTAGTTCAGTTCTAGTTCAGTTCTAGTTCAGTTCTAGTTCAGTTCTAGTTCAGTTCTAGTTCAGTTCAGGTTCTAGTTCAGTTCTAGTTCAGTTCTAGTTCAGTTCTAGTTCAGTTCTAGTTCAGTTCTAGTTCAGTTTCTAGTTCAGTTCTAGTTCAGTTCTAGTTCAGTTCTAGTTCAGTTCTAGTTCAGTTCTAGTTCAGTTCTAGTTCAGTTCTAGTTCAGTTCTAGTTCAGTTCTAGTTCAGTTCTAGTTCAGTTTAGTTCAGTTCTAGTTCAGTTGTTCGTAGTTCAGTTCTAGTTCAGTTCTAGTTCAGTTCTAGTTCAGTTCTAGTTCAGTTCTAGTTCTAGTTCAGTTCTAGTTCTAGTTCAGTTCTAGTTCAGTTCTAGTTCAGTTCTAGTTCAGTTCTAGTTCAGTTCTAGTTCAGTTCTAGTTCAGTTCTAGTTCAGTTTCTAGTTCAGTTCTAGTTCAGTTCTAGTTCAGTTCTAGTTCAGTTCTAGTTCAGTTCTAGTTCAGTTCTAGTTCAGTTCGAGTTCAGTTCTAGTTCAGTTCTAGTTCAGTTTTAGTTCAGTTTTAGTTCAGTTCTAGTTCAGTTCTAGTTCAGTTCTAGTTCAGTTCTAGTTCAGTTCTAGTTCAGTTCTAGTTCGGTTCTAGTTCAGTTCTAGTTCAGTTCTAGTTCAGTTCAGTTCTAGTTCAGTTCTAGTTCACTTCTAGTTTTGTTCTATTTCAGTTCTAGTTAAGTTCTAGTTCAGTTCTACTTCAGTTCTAGTTAACTTCTAGGTCAGTTCTACTTCAGTTCTAGTTCAGTTCGTTATTAGTACTTACATCCAGCTCCTTTCAAACGTTGTATAGTCTCGGGCGGTATACGAACACAGCCCAAAAAACCACTGCCCTTGTGTATTTTCCTTTGATTCCAAACGGTTATCGTTATGGAATCGTTGCGTCCCAAAAATAAATCGTAATGAGCATTCCATTTTGGATCTAAAGTGGATTTACTTATTTCCGTTGAATAAACCTGACCGGTGCCATCAACTTGAACCTTTGCAAAAGGGTCAGGAAGGCCTAAAATAAAAACAAACATGAAATCAAATTAAAACAAGTTCAATTACATGAAATTACTTAACAAAATCATTAAACTTATAGATGTTAGCATCAATATTTAAAGTTTTATTTTGTATTTAACACGCTAACATTCAACAACATGAAACTCTTGCCGAGAAATACTTTAATAAAATGTATATTTTCTTTTGTTGTAATATTTTTCTTGATAAAGAAAAATCCTCTAACTTTAGCTCAACATATTGCGAACAAACAGCCTTACAAACATCATCCTGGTTTTCCCAAGCGTGATGAAATTTTAATAGATCCTCGTTAGAATGGAAACAAAATAATTGAAATGTTAAGAAAAAATAAGAACAAAGTGAAAAGTAGAGAAAAAGTATAACAAATAAAAAGTAAAACTTTTAATAAGAAAATAATAAAATAAAAAATAATTAAAGTGTTTTTATTTATAAAGAAATTAATTTAAAACTAAAGGGTGGATTTTAAAGAAAATACATTACATATTTCAAGAATATTTTAATTGTTTTATAAATTCCTAGTAAAAAATTAAAAAAAAAAACATGTTGCATATTTGTTTAACTTTAGCGAGAGGTAAAGCCCTCTTGTATTTAAATAATAAAAAACCCCCTTACAAAATCGGGTACTTTTTTCTTAACATGGTCCTTATCAGTTTTAAAGCTTAGGGTAATCTACTAGCAATAATAATTTCCTATAAAAAGTCTACGCAAAATGTGAATTATCAACAGTGTCTTGAAAATCTTCTAAGAAATTAAAACAAATTAAAATATTTAAAAAAATGTTGGGAAATAAGTTCTTCATTGTGGTATTAATGGCTTTGTTGGCTTTAACCACTCAATTTGCTGCAGCATCTCCATTTGTGGATAGACCTCGCAGACCAGTTCAACACAACGGACCTAAGCCACGCATTATTACAAATCCTCCATTTAATCCTAATGCTAGACCAGCTTGGTAAAGAAAAGGAGGGATAATGGAAAGGATTACAAAAGAGGGAAGGAGGGAGGAGAAGGAAAAGCGGGAGAAAAGGGGAGGGAGAGAAAAGGGAGGAACAAGACGGGAGAGAAAAAGGAGGGGAAAAAAAGCGCGGGGGGAGGGAAACAAAGGAGAAGGAACAAAGGGGGGGAAGAACGAGGAACGAACGAACGAAGAACGAACGAACGAACGAACGAACGAAGAACGAAACGAAACGAACGAACGAACGAACGAACGAAACGAAACGAACGAACGAACGAACGAACGAACGAACGAACAACGAACGAACGAACGAACGAACGAACGAACGAACGAACGAACGAACGAACGAACGAAGAACGAACGAACGAACGAACGAACGAACGAACGAACGAACAACGAACGAACGAACGAACGAACGAACTAAAACGAACGAACGCGAACGAAACGAACGAACGAACGAACGAACGAAAGAACGAAACGAACGAACGAACGAACGAACGAACGAACGAACGAACGAACGAAACGAACGAACGAACGAACGAAAGCACGAACGAACGAACGAACGAACGAACGAACGAACGAACGAACGAACGAACGAACGAAGAACGAACGAAACGAACGAACGAACGAACGAACGACGAACGAAACGAAACGAACGAACGAACGAAACGAACGAACGAACGAACGAACGAACGAACGAACGAACGAACGAACGAACGAAACAACGTAACGAAAACGAACGAACGAAACAACGAACGAACGAAACGAACAACGAAACGAACAAACGAACGAACGAACGAACGAACGAGAACGAACGAACGAACGAACGAACGAACGAACGAACGAACGAACGAACGAACAACCGAACGAACGACGAAAGAACGAACGAACGAACGAACGAACGAACGAACAACGAACGAACGAACGAACGAACGAACGAACGAACGAACGAACGAACGAAAGAAAGAAACGAACGAACGAAAGAACGAACGAGACGAACGAAACGAAACGAACAACACGAAAACTAACGACGAAAACTAAAGAACTAACGAACGAACGAACGAACTAACAAAAAACGAAAACAACGAACTAACAAGAAACAACGAACGAACGAACGAAAAAACAGACTAAACTAAACGAACTAACGACGAAAAAGAACTAACTACTAACGAAATAACTAAAGAACGAAAGAAAAAAAAAAGAAACTAAAAATAACTAACATAAAATAACAGAAACTAACTAACTAACTAACGATAAGAATAAACTAAAACAAAGAACAAGAAAGAACTAACGACAAACTAAACTAAAGAACTAACTAACTAAACTAACTAACTAAAAACTAACTAACTAAAATAACTAAGAACGAACTAAAAACTAACGAAACTAACTAAAAAAAGAAAGAACTACTAACTGAACTAAATAACTAAATAACTAACTAACTAACTAACTAAATAACTAACTAACTAACTAACTAACTAACTAACTAACTAAACTAACTAACTAACTAACTAACTAACTAACTAACTAAACTAACTAACTAACTAACTAACTAACTAACTAACTAATAACTAACTAAACTAACTAACGACCTAACTAACTAACTAACTAAACTAAAACTAACTCACTAACTAACTAACTTACTATAAACTAACTAACAAACAACACTAAACAATTACTAAATAACTAACTAATTAACTTACTAACTGACTTGCGAACTAACTAGACTGTTTGTATTGTAGACTATAATCTGGTCTGTATTCGAGACTATAGTCTGATCAAGACTATAGGCTGGTCAATAGCCTGATCAAGAATATAGTTTGATGTATAGAGGAGATTAAAGTCTGCTATAGTCAAGACTATAGACTGGTCTAAAGTCAGTTTGTACTACTTCAATAGCCTTATCTATTTAAAGCCGAGACTACTTCTATAGCTTGATCTATAATCGATATTATAGTCTGGTTGTAGACTATAGTTTGATCTAAAGTGTCGGCTACAGTTTGATCTATGGTACAGACTCTAGTTTGATCTATAATGTAGACTATAGTCTGGTATATAGGGTAGACTATAGTTTGATCTATAGTCAGATCAATAGTCGAGACTATTGTCTGATCTATTGTCGAGACAATATTCCGCTCAATAGTCAAGACTACAGTCTGGTCTATATTCAAGATTATAGTCTGACCTATGGTGTAAATTATAGTTTGATCTATAGTCGAGACTATAGTTTGATCTATAGTCTGGACTATGGTCTGATCCATAGTCGAGACTATATTCAGCTGAGTAGTCAAGACTAGTCTGATGAATTGACGAGATTATAGTCTGATCTGTAGTCTAGACTAATGTGATCTGTAGTCGCGGCTATAGTCTGTTCTGTGTTCTGGTCTATAGTCAAGACTATATATAGTCTATCTATAAACGAGAATATAATCTGGTCTATTGTTTTGTCTATAGTCTGTATACTATTGTCTATAATGCTCTGGTCTAAAGTCAAAACTATAATCTAATCTATCGTCTTGTATATAGTCGAGACTACAGCCTGGTCTATGCTATAGTCTGGTCGTTAGCCAAGTCGATAGTGGAGACTATATTTTAATCCATAGATTAGAGTTTAGTCTTTACAATAGGTATTTGTCTTCAACTATTCAGTTATGGTGGTCCAAACTTATTATAAAAATAAGTTAATTCAGAATACAACTTAATTTTTAACCACTTAACATCTCTATTTATCTATTTATCTGTCATTTTCTTTCAACTCATAGAATTGAAAAATGGTTATTGAAGATTTGTCGTTGTCTTTCATTTACAAACATTATGAATGAATATTTAACCTACTTTTGCTTAATAATACTAATAAACAAATTAAATTAACTAGAACTTTCGCAAAATTTTGTTAAATAAACAATTGGATTTGTTGTTTTTTTTTTTTTTTTTTTTTTTGTTACTTTTCAAACTTAATAAAAAAGGGTCATATATCATTTGACTTAATAAGACAAAAACACAACTCAAAATCTGGGCATTGTTTTTTTGTAAAAATTGTTCTAAAATTTATTTTTTTTAACAATAGCAAAAAATATTTAAATTAGCAAAAAATTTATGTTATTTTATAGTTAATAATATTGCGTGTTCTTTAGTTTGGAAAAAAAAAACACAACAATTTAATGTAATTTATATGATTTTTTTTTTTGCAAATAAACAATAATTGTAATTGTAATATTAATAATTTACAATATTATTATTGTTTATATTTTGTGGTGGTTAATAATAACTATGTTTTTTTTTATTTACAAAGTAATTAAAAACAATTAAGTAGTTATAGAGCAGATTTTTTTATTATTTTTAATTAATATTTTTTTTTAGATTTTTATTGAAAATATTACACAGCTGTTAAATGACACAGTTAATAATCCTTTTGTTCCCCATCTCTATCAGACTATAGACCAACTATAGTCTCTACTATATAGAAGACCATAGTCTCGACTAAAGAGCAGACTATAGTCTCAACTATAGAGGAGACTATAGCATCGGCTATAGAACATACTATAGTCTCGACTATAGAGCGTACTATAGTCTCGACTGTAGACCAGACTACTGTCAAGACAATAGACCAGACTATAGTCTAGACTATAGACCAAACTATAATCTAGACTACAGACCAGACTATAGTCTAGACTGTAGACCAGACTATAATCTAGACCAGACTGTAGTCCAGACTAAACACCAGACTGTAGCCTAGACTATAGACTAGATTATAGTCTTTGCTATACACCAGACTATAGACCAGAATATAGTCTAGAATATAGACCAGACTATAATCTAGACTATAGACCAGACTGTAATCTTTGCTATAGACCAGAATATAGACCAAACTATAGTCTAGACTTTAGACAAGACTATAGTCTAAACTATAGACCAGACTATAGACTAAGCTATAAACCAGACTCTAGACTTGACTCTAGTCCAGACTATAGACTAGACTGTAGTCCAAACTATAAACTAGACTGTAGTCCAGACTATAGACTAGACTGTAG